CAGATGGTGAGACAGGACTGAGACTTGAATGATGAATGAGGAAGCCCAGAGGCTCCCTGCAGTTTTTCAGAGCTGACTGTAATTTCCCCACAGGAGTCCTGGGTACAGCTGACAGTGGGGAACCAAATGATTGACATCCTAGTAGATACTGAAGACAGCCTGAATAGTCAAAAGACAGTATTAATTGCAGGCATAGCAGGCAAAATGCAACAAAAGCCTATCCTCTGACCTATGAAATATCAGCGACGGAATTTTAGATTGAAACAGTTTTCTGTGCATTGCCAGAATGTTCTGAAAGGGTAAAGTTTCTAAGCTGGAAAGCTTGAATGTAAAAGATCAGGTATTATTAAGTTCCTCTGTTACACCCAGATTCCTGAGATAGTTAAAACAACGCCCTACTGGCCATTTAGCCTAGGGCCCTGTGCAGTTCGTCATAGGGCCCGAACCAATCAGTTTGAATGTGTAACGCGCTTACGAATGACCAATCACCCCGGCCCGACCTGTTCCCGCCAATGAATGTGCCAATCACGTCTCAGAGTTGTTCAATTTCCCCCGCGCCTCATGATGATTTGTTCTGACCGCCCTCTCCAAAAAGTGTACTTAAGCTCTGCTTGACCTCTGCTCTGGGCTCTGGGCTGCTCTCCCTCCTTGAGTGAGCACAGAGTCCCAGCGCGCTGGAATGGATCCCCAATAAATATCCCCTTTTGCCAATTGCATGGAGTCAGTCTCTTGGGTGGTCTCTCCCTCCGACGTTTCGCCGGACCCTTACAGTTCAATTCCATTATTAGGACAGAATTTGCTGGCCAACTAAACACTGAAGTGATTTTCTCCTCAAAAAGCACTTCTCGCCAGAACAAGCTCTAGGTTTACAGCAGCTGTTCCTCTCACCCGGAGGAGGAGACAAGAAGTCCTTTTCCCCTGAGGTCTATGAGAAATTCAGTGAAGCTCGGTGGGTGAAGGAGCCCGCAGGTTGAGCCATACATTCACAACTGGTAAATAATGACTTAATAGAGGGAGCTACTATACCACATAAGGAACAGTACCCTCTCAAAAAGGAAGCTTTTGAAGAAATTCAGCCAGTTGAAATTTCTTAAACATGGAGGCAGGGCAAATGGCAACCATCAGGCTATTTTACTGAATAATACAAACGTTATCTTGAAAGCTACTGCAACCCTAAATCCAGCCACCTTGTTCCCAAACAACAGAAACTGAATCTGATTTGGAAACACAACTGTCTAAAAATTCTTGATGCAGTCTATTCCAGCAGAGTGGACTTATCAAATCAACCACTGACATCTCATAAATGCAAACTATACAATTGAAGCCAGAATTAGACAGGTGGTCAGTGTAGATAGGTAAATCGAGTCAGGTCGGATAAAGGAGGCCAATTTTGAGTGAGTCTGGGAAGTTGGAGACTGTTCCCTGAAGGATCTTATCAAGAACCTGCTCCTGCTCTGTAACCTGTCCCAGGAATTTCCCCTCCCTAAAGGGAACAATAAGGTTGTTATTGTGTCCTTGGCTACTCCACCCTGCCCTTTCCCCTTCAGCCCACCTATTTCTCAGCTTTGGGCCATCCCACCAAGCATTCCTGGGCCTAGTCACATTTGCAGGAAAGAGAAAGGGGGAAAAGGTAGGAGAACAAAAGAAGGCATGGACATATAATAAGGGCAGAACACCTCCCCTCTTGGGATAGCATGATACCAGCTATGGCCCCCCCCTTCCCTTTTCCCTCCCGGGAGAAGTCTAAGTTATCCCTTTTTTAGTAAACCCTGCTACATATGCTTGCCTTGGCGTGCTTCTCTAATGTTCAAACTTCAACACGTGGGGAAGCAGGATTCGTCACTGGTAACCGGTGGTATCACAATGATGGGAGCTGCTTTGTGGAAAAAGAATGATACTGAGCTGAATATACTGTAGTGATACTGCATAAGGCACTAGAAGTCCATGCTCTCCTGATCAGCACATGTACACAAAAAGCCAAATTATTGCATTCACTAGAGCTTTACAGTTGTCACAAGGAAAACAAGTACACATCTATACTGACTCCAAATATGCCTTTATGATAGTATACACACATAGAACTACTTGGAAGGAGAAAAGGTTATTAACTTCAGGAAATAAGGACATCAAACATCTGATGGAAATTCTGGCTCTAATAAAGGCAACTGCTTTCCCATCCCAATGGGCTATTAGGTACTGCCCACGACACCAAAATGGTGATCCCCACATGACTAGAGAAAATCAGAATTCCGATAGAACTGCTAAAGAAGTCCAAGAATGTGTCTTCACTGATATGAATTCACACTTAACTGTGGAAAATTAATAACCACAGGATCAGTTTAGTCCCTGAAGGTCTGGCATATTCAATTTTAAAACACCTTCATGAAGGGACAGATTATGGCAGAAATGTACTGATGGATTTAATAGGGCCTTATTTGAAAGGTCCACACCTATAAGATCCTTGCTTAGCATCTAGATGGCCATCTTAAGTGACAGCCACCATTTTAAGGAAAAAGTTTCACTTTCCCACCCAAGGGCATTTCTGAGAAAGGCTCACCACTCCCTCATAAAACCCAACCCCTAACCACAGGCATTAGGACTTGCCCTGCTCTTTGATTCCTGAGCCTCCCGCATATTTGTCATCTTTGACAAATAAATTCTTGTTTGTATGTCTGCCTGGTCTCCATCTTTCATTTCTTGCTTACCTCTGTCTCGTTCCTTACTTTCTCTTCAACATCTGCACGAGACAGTTGATAAGGTCACGCAATGATATCATTTATGTGCTAAAAATAATCCAAAGACTGAACACATCTCATATCGGAAGTAGATGGAATAGTGAATATGATATAAAGGGTTATGTCCCTTTGAACGCAGGCAAATAGACTTTGAGTCTTTTAAAAATTTTATTAGTATTTATGGATACATTATCAGGCAGGGTACAAGCATATCCTATTAAAACTAAGACGACAACTAAGGAGATTAAATTTTTGCTCAAGTAAATCATTCCCAGGTTTGGACTTCCCAAGCTAATTCAAAGTAAAAATGGACCATCGTTTGCCTCTAAAGTCACCCCAAAAGTGAGTAAAGGTTTACAAATAACTTGGAAACAATATTCATTATGGAGACTGTAATCCACAGAGAAAAACAGAAAAAGGACTTGGTCTAAACTTTGTCAATAGACTCATTTAAAATGGGATAAGGTTTTACCTATTTCTTTGTTCCAAATTAAGGCAGCACACTGATGTGGGCCTAAACTAAGCCCTTTAAAATTCTGTATATGAGTTCTTTTCTAACCTTTATGGTAGGTGCCTCATCTTTTAAGTTAGAAAATGAATCTGGGATTAAACAATATGTAGGACGGCTGGGGCAGATATTAATGACCTCACGTCACTTTGGTCTTTCAAGATTTGCCCACCTAATGGATCAGCCATTCTGCCCCTTCCATCCTGGAGGCAAGCTTGTAGGAGTAAAGCCTTGGGGTCCATCGCTCTAGAGTCAAGTGAGCTCTGCCAATGGAAAGTACATCTGCCCCTTTTCTCCATATCCTGCCTGGAACTACACCTTGGCAGAGAATCTTAAAATACATATTCAAAGAACAATATAATTAAGATAAGTGATGATGAGTATATTGCTAACTTAAAGGAATCTGATGATTCCTTGGTAAAAGAATGATAAAGTTGTGGACAGGGATGCTGGAAAATTGTGAATACATTCTGTTGCTTATACATTGATATTTCATCCTAAGTAGAAATGAGCATTGATAAAATTAGATGACAGGCCACTTGACTACCAAAGACTTTAGAATATGAAACTCCTTTTCTACAAGGAGTAGACTTGTTTTCAAATTTATTTTCTTAGATGCCATCTGAGAACAGATCCATCCTTGAAGAATGTTTAACACCCCTAATAATAATAATGGGAGCCTACATAAGGATTTATTGTATTATACTACAAAAAGTATGCAAATGAATGCCTCGTACAGAACCACCCTTTCCCTAAGGAAAAATAAATGAGAACAAAAATTATGTATTTCACCATGTCAAAGCCTTCTATTCCAAAAATCTCCATTCCTCTGCATTTCAGCAGGAAGTAACCAGAATTGAGTCAAAGGCCTACTTTCCATAGAAATGTAATGAAGGATCTACAGTGGGAAATCATAACAGTGATCACTCCTTTGGGAATTGTCCTTGACAGTTACTTTTGCTTACTCTCTCTGATTTTTTTTTTGCAAGGTTATCTTCCCCTCTTTAATTCTTTTGACATCTCATCCTTTTCCCCTGGCACTCTAAATTCTAAAGAATAACCCCAACTAAATGAGGTTAAGATGTTAACTACTATATAATCTTGTTTTTAGATTTACAGAGACCAGAACATCTGGTTACCTTCAGATAATAGGAAAATATACAATGCCACTCCTGGTTCTTTTAATTCTATGCATCAACTAAAGCAAAGCATATATACACGGTTATAAGGACTAATTTGCATAAAAGAAATATTTGTCTAAAAAGAGTTGTAAGAATTAGCCCCTAGGAGTTTGAGGTCCTTTGCAATGTTTCAGAGAAGAAGGAAAAAGAGAACACATGCCCTGGATAATAAAAACCTCACTCAGGCTGGGGTTGTAACTCTATGGTAGAGCACTTGCTTAGCACAAGTGAGGCACTAGGTTTGATCCTCAACATCACATAAAAATAAATAAAGGTATTGTGCCCATTTACAACTAAGAATAGTTTTTAAAAAAGGACCTCACTCAACATTTCTGCCCCTGCCTGCCTTTTCCTTCTTATAAAAGTACTTTATTCCCTGGATCCCCTAAGATGGAGCTTTGAGGACAGTAGGCCCCACCATCTTTCAAAGTGCTGGACATCTAGTAAACCTGATTCATTTCAACCAACTCTCACCAAATAAAAATTGGTTTTCAAGTGGTGAGCAGCCCAGATCTCAGTCTGATAAAATGGAAAAACAAATTAAATGTCTCAGCAATTTCAAAATGATGACATTAATGTGAGACACAAAGATCTTTTTTTATGACAAAAGAATTAAAGTTATCTATTTCTCTTCATGGCTGTCCTCACACAACTCTTCACGGTTAATTAGTAAACATGATGCCTCAATTAAGCCTGCATCTTTTGAGCATGTGGAAACCTCATCTGTTACGGTTTTAGATTTTGATATCCTTGTTCTTGATGGTTTCAGCTCTGGAGAAGTGGCATACAAATATGTGCTGCTGTCTTCTGCACTCTTAGAAAAAGATGTATCTGATACACCTTCTGACGGATGAAAGTAAGATAGGGTTGCCAGCTCTGGGTTGATGGAGTATTGACTGTCATAAGTTTTATAACTGAAAAAAAAAAAAGAACAGATAACAAAAATTGTGTTTAAGTGTGCACATGTGTAACTAATTCAATATAATTCAATTATATTTTATTTATAAGAAATAAAATATAATTGAATTGTAATATAATTGTCCAATGTACTAGATCATTAATAACAGTATGTAAATGATATAGCTTTTCTTTAATACTAATCTTATTATATTTAAAGCCTATGTAGATGAAGCATTTTTAAACCTTAAGACTAGAATGTAGGGACTGGGGATGTGGCTCAAGCGGTAGTGCGCTCGCCTGGCACGCGTGCGGCCCGGATTCGATTCTCAGCACCACATACAAAGATGTTGTGTCCGCCTATAACTAAAAAATAAATATTAAAATTCTCTCTCTCCCTCTCTCATTCTCTCTTAAAAAAAAAAGACTAGAATGTAGAAACCTATTTACTGAAACAATGAAGTTTAATAAGATGGAAATGGTGCTGTGTGCTTGCAATTCCAGCTATTTGGGAGGCTGAGGCAGGAGGATAACAAGTTTGGAGCCAGCAAGACTCTGTTCCAAAATACAAAATAAAAATGGCTGGGGTATGGCTCAGTGGTAAAGTGCCCCTGGGTTGAATTACCAGTACAACTAAATAAAAGAAAAAATGTGTTTTTTTTAATTAAAGAGTAATAAGAAACATGTAAAATGACATGGAATTAGAGGGACTAAATACTTAGCATCAGAGTTTTAATGGACTAAAGAAATATATGTGAAAGACCTAAGCAACCACATTTTACTTGGGACCTCATTTTTCTCTGAAACTTAACCCCTGACCTATGCAGTCCTAAAGTCAGGAAATACCACAGAAAGCTCTGTGCAAACAGTTCTGTCTCGAAAAAAGCCACAGACAGTGACTGCCTAAGATAGGCCAAGATATCGAAATATCTGAAATTCCAGACGCCCCCCCACCCCACCTAGGTGGGGTGACCAATATCTAAACCAGAAGCCCTTCAGCTTGGCATGTACCCCCTTGGGACACCCTCATGGTTTAAACCAATCATTTTTAAGAGCATCAACCCCTTGAACTAACCAATAATCCTTTCCAGCTTCTTTCCCGCCACTTGGTACGCTAATCATGTTTTAGAGTTGTTTTATGATTTTCCAGGCGGTGTGTGATGATTTGCTAAGAGATGCTCTGATGTATGTAAAGTCCCTGCCTTCCCCAAAGAGTGTATAAAACTGCTGCAAACCCTGGCCTCTCAGCATCACCAGCTGTTGTGTGCGAGGAGGACCGAGCTAGCTCACAATAAACACCTCTTTGCTGCTTACATGGATCTTGGCATGGAAAAGACCACCAGAGGGGTCCTGAATGCGAGCATATCATCTTTCCCTTTCTTCCGTGGTGAAGAGGATGCGGAGCAATTTTGGGCAATCATCCCAGGTAGGCTGGTGAGTAAACATAACACTATCCAGGAGAGAGATTAAACTCTTTGGGCTGTCAGAGTAATGGGGGGTTTTGATTCTTCCAGTTGTATAAATCACTAGTGGAGAAGGGCCAATACTGAAGTCTAGGGTTCTCGTCTTGTCAGGGGGCCCTATCTCCCTGAGGGGCAAGATCACGGTGGTGTCAGGATGTTGGGCTCCCCCTGGAGTTCCCACTGCTGGTCTTTCCAGTGCCCCGGCTGCTCTGCTCTTCCTGCTCCTCCCTCTGCACCCCCCTCATCGGGCTGGTTGTGGGGGCACATAGGGAGGGGGCGCAGATTCCGAGAGAAGCGGGTCCTTGCCCCCTTGGAGGACTGGATACAGGGGGGCTGACGGTTGGATAGGTACCGGGGTTCGTGGCCTAGAATCAACCTCTTTTGCCACAAATATGTCGGCCTCATGTGCCACATGTAAAAAGGGAGTTAGCCCAATTAGGGGGGGTCCTCGAGTAAGTCCATCCACCCTAAGATGTAAGGGATCTGTTATGGATGTCCCTCTCTTCTCAGGCGAAAAATCATGTTCTTCACTCGAAGGACTGCACTTTTGTCAAAGGTCCCCTCTGGTGGCCACCCTACCCCAAAGTAACTAGCTTTCTTTCCTTTATCTCTAGTCCCAAATTATGTCCTCTTTCCCTAACTTCTGTGAAATGGTCAGTCAGTACGGTCAAAGGAGTAGTCTGAGTTTGTCCCATGTCTAAGTGGAAAGAGAAAACAGCTACAACTATTCCTCAAATCAAGATTATAACAGACAGATAGACAGCAAATGCCTCGCATAGCGTTTCAAAGAGGATTTCAGAAGGCAGAGTAGATCTTCCACTGGACTCCCCTGGTGGCTTATGACCTGCAAGAATTCTGAGGGGGATTAGTTCCCTTGCCAGGGTGTCAAGGTGGAGGCAGACAGGACAATAGAAACAGACACAGGTAACACAGGGCTGTGTGGATTGCTAAACTGAGACTAAAAGCGGAGGCAGATGGAGGATCTGTCAGCTACAAAATACAGACACCTTTAGTAAAGGGTGATCCACTCAGAATCCAGAAAGGGCTAAGGACGTCTCCCACAATCCCCTGTCAGCGGCCCTATAGTGCGTCCACCAGGACCTTTTGCCGACCAGAAAATACAGAACCTAAAACTGCAGGCAACCAGAGTACAGAAAATTACACATCGGCAATGCCTTAATTTACTGGCTGGGTTTTCATCACCTGTCGATCAAGACGTCTGGGTAGGCTTATAAGGGGGATCCTGGACGAGCCCCCAATGATATGCTTGAGTTCTGGACCCCCGCAAAAGACCACCAGAGACCAAGATCCATGTAAGCAGCAAAGAGGTGTTTATTGCGAGCTAGCTCAGTCCTCCACACACACAACAGCTGGTGATGCTGAGAGGCCCTGAGCCCAGGGTTTGCAGCAATTTTATACACTCTTTGGGGAAGGCAGGGACTTTACATACATCATAGCATCTCTTAGCAAATCATCACACACTGCGGGAAAATGATAAAACAACTCTAAAACATGATTAGCCTATCAAGTGGCGGGAAAGAAGCTGGAAAGGATTATTGGTTAGTTCAAGGGGCTGATGCTCTTAAAAATGATTGGTTTAAACCATGAGGGTGTCCCAAGGGGGGGGGGGTACATGCCAAGCTGAAGGGCTTCTGGTTTAGATATTGGTCACCCCACCTAGGTGGGGTGGGGGGGCGTCTGGAATTTCAGATATTTCGATATCTTGGTCTATCTTAGGCAGTCACTGTCTGGGGCTTTTTTTTGAGAGAACTGTTTGCACAGAGCTTTCTGTGGTATTTCCTGACTTTAGGACTGCAGTAGGTCAGGGGTTAAGTTTCAGAGCAAAATGAGGTCCCAAGTAAAATGAGGTTGCTTAGGTCTTTCAATATGATTTGTTAAAAATACAACAATCAAAAGAATTACTGTAAACTGTGAACATGAAGCAGTTCTATTAGGATTTTTGAAAATAATCGGTCACACTGTATAAATGAAAATTTAAAAAACAAGCCCCTTATTCAGGTTTCAGTTGATTTTTTTTTTTAAATTTTAGTTGTAGAAGGACACAACATCTTTATTTATTTATTTTTATATGGAGCTAGAATCAAACCCAGTGCCCTAGGCTTTCAAGGCAAGTGCTCTGCCACTGAGCTGCAACTCCAGCCCCAGGTTTTAGTTGATTTTTTTTTTTATGAGAAAGAACAAATGGATAAACTTCAAAGTATAAATGAGACAGAGGATCTGCTTTTCCTAAGAGTATCAGGCAAGGCTTGCTTTGGTGAAAAATGTAATACCCTAAGAAGATCTGCTATTAAGGGAAAATATATATTCCTTGTAAGTTCCTTGCTTAGCTTCTGGGTGGTCATTTTAAGTGATAGCTGCTATTTTAAGAAAAATTTCCCTTTCCCGCCCAAAGGGACTTTCTGAGAAAGGCTCACCACTCCTTCATATCAACCCCACCCTTAACCTCCTATATTATGACCCACCTGGCTCTCCTCCCTGAATGTGCCCCATAAAAGTCCCAGAACTCAAGCCTGTGTTGCCTCTCTCCATCTATGGAGAGATGACCTTTATTTGTCAGCTCTGATAAATTCTCCTATGTATCTCTGCCTGGTCTCCGTCTTTCATTTCTTGCTCGCCCATCTCTCAGTTCCTTGCTTTCTTTTCATCCCTATTGCTGACGATTTAAAATATTGGGGAAAAGTTCAAGTAGGATGATGCCTGAGATGGCCCCATGCTCCTTGGAAATAGAGGAAATGGAGTCACACTGAAAGACTGACAGCTCCATTATTCAGGCATTACAATCTGCTAACAATTTACCCAGGACAGGAGGGACTGAGCTTGACAGCATGCATCGGTTATAAACACTGCAGAGGTTGGTGGGCTTACCTTAGCTGCTTCAGTTTGTATAGTGTGGCACTACAGAATGCCAAGAGAGCGACAAATAGGAAAAGGGTCATCAATGAGATACCCAGCATTAATTTGATCTTGATATCCTCTAGATCATCTGTTTTGCTTATTTTTGTAGTGTTGACATCAGATTCTGACAGGAAAGAAAAAAAAGGCAATGGAGAAGAGTGGATTCTTGATGTTTTCCTGGAGATTGAGGATGGTAGAAGATGCAGAGAAGCCCCACGCCCGCCTCAGTGTCCACTGCTCATTCTCCTACCACAGGCAATGCAGAGAGAGGGCTACTTCCCACGCCAAGCACTCCTTCCTCTTTACCCTTCACAGCACTCTTGGAGGAGCTGTCCTTAGCTCCATTTTACAGGATCTCAGCAGTTCATGAATTTTCCCCTTGCACACAGCTAGTAAGTGGCAGAGTCTGACTTTAAACCCAGGTTACCAGATGTCAAAATGTGTATGTAGCAGACTTTCTCCCTGACTTTCCTAGAAACCAGTTAAAGTAATTGATCATCTCTGTAGAGGTGACTATTAATATGATCAATGTACACACAAGGCACCAGTGTTTCAGAAGAGAAGGGTGATGTTCTGATGTTGCAACATGTACTGGTTGTTCTTTGAAATAAAAGGATGGTGTGTGCAAGCTCTCTCCATGAGGTTAAAGGGCTAAGCTTGCCTTTAATTACTGAGATGACTAAATCTAGTGTACTTGACATTGCATCGAGAAATGCAAACATTTTTTAACTCTTAAAAATAAGTTAAATCAAAAAGTGATGCCTGGATCCAGAGACATGAAGAAAGTTATTAAAACTAGTAATAAAAAATGACTCTTTACTGACAGATCTGACCTTTTCCTGAATATTCATCTGACTTAATAAACTTGGTTATCACTTCCTTTTTTCACAGTTCCTCCCACCCCCATTCCAAATGGTCCAAAGATCTTTCTTTTATGTAATAGTTCATAAGCAATAACAAATTCCCATGTCTGAGCTCTGATAAAACTTAAAATGGTCAAAGTGTGATCTTCTTCCCTGTGGAAGGAGATGTAGAGAGCAGTCAAGGGCTGTTAGCTGACTCTGAGACCAATTGTTTGGAGAATAATCCAACAAATTGTTAAAATGGAAAATTCTCCTAAGTTGCTTTTCTGCCTCCTTAAAGAGTCATTCTAAAGAGGCTTGTTCATAGTGCATTTATCAAGGTCATGGTCAGAACCAGAGAAGAGTTTGGAATTCCTAATCACTGAAATAGCCAGTTATAGGTATGGGCAGGTTTTTGCTCTAAGTCTCAGTTTCTTTCTCTATAAAATGGAGATAAATCCAACTTCATGGAGTTGCTGTGAGGATTGACATAATAATGCAACTAAAGTAACAGAATACTCTTTGTGTGCTCAGCAAATGACAGAAAATCAATCAAGCCACATTTAATCACTTCAGTTAAAGAAACAATAAAGCATTTCTAAAATGACCCAGCATTAGTGATCCCTGTGGATAGCATTTCAAAACAAAAAAGACTCACTCCATTTTCTTGAAGCACCACAAGGCAAATGGCGACATTCTTCAAATAATTCAGTACAGAACTGGGGTGACAGGTCTTGGATATATCACCAGATATATTTCTTTTTCCATCATTTTTTGTAGGACAGGCATTTGGGGGAAAATTAACACATTGCTTTTTCATGAAAGTGTCCATTCAAATTAGGAGTTGTTTTTAAAATGCAATTACTCCATTAAGGTAAAGTGTATTCAGCAACAGGAACTCACATTCATTACTGGTGAGAGTGTGCCATAGTACAGCCACTCTGGAGGACAGTTTGGTAGTTTCTTAAAAAGCTAACGTGTGTATTATATTTTAATGATGGGCACATGAAATTATGCATTTTTCAAAACCCAAAGAACTGTAAAATACAAAGTGTGAACCTTAATGTAAACAATGGACTTTAGCCAATCATACTCTTATTTCATAAATTTTAACAAATGTGACACACCCATGCAAGATGTTAATAATAGGGGAAAATAAAGAGGCGTAGGATGTGGGACCCCTATGTACTTTAAATTTTTCCCTAATCCTAAAATTCCTCCGCAATTAAAGCTTTTCTTTTTCTTTCTTTCTTTTCTTTCTTTCTTTTTTTTTTTTTTTTAAAAAGACTGCCTTCTCTGTATTTCCACTCACCTACCACTCTATTTTGTTTCTCTGGGTCAGGAATAGAAGCTATGAAGCATTCGTCTGCAAATTGGTAACTGAAGAAGAATATTCAGGAATCATTACTCTTCTAAAACAGGAAATGTCCTCTTTCATGTGATGTTGGCCACCAGGAAACCTTCCTGCCTGCACTACACTTTACTAGGAAAATGGTATCACCAAGGGACAATAAACATGTGAGTATTTATGTATCTATTAACTGAAGTACTCTTCTTACCTGGAATTGGTTGAAATAATTGATCTCTATCATCCATGCTCACTGTTGTTCCATTTATAGCTGTTAAAACAATAAATTGATGGTCATGGCAAATAACATTCTCTAGGTAAAATTAATATATGTGTATGATCATGTGTTTACAGAGGGTGTAGGTCCTGTTCTCAATATTCATGGTAATTATGTTCTGCACAGTAAACAGCAGAATAACTCTGGCTTGAAGAAAGCTTACCCACTACATACATTTTCTCCATTAGACACATCACTGCCTTCTTGCATTAAAGAAAATTAACCAGCTAGTTTAACACCACACTTGGGGGCCAGCTGAAGGGATGACTGAGTGTACTTATCAGGACATTAAAAATATATGAAGTTCTGCTGATGTCTAAATGGCCTTGAAGATGCTGAAAGCATTGATTTTGAGTGACAAAGGTATCATGGTGAGTAGATGATACAGAGTATAAATACAGAATGCACAAACAGTGAGGATTGACTGAATATTGTATATATTTCACCTTTAGCATGCATGTATATCTGTGTGGTACATGTATATATACATAACTACATGTACACATACATACATTTATTTATACATACATGCATATACTGATTTGGACAGGTGTGCATATATATTTATGATACATATAAATTTTGTGCATGTATATATCTTGATAAATATTTTGCATGTTTACAAGCATCTCTGTATGTTTATGTGCACCCTGTTGCAAACACTAGAGGGCCTATATTGTGTAAGAACCTTATTTAAAAGTTTTAATCATGAATTAAATTGAATAACTAGATTTTAACATCTACATGAGAATAAGCCTTTGGGGGAGTGGATTAAAAACTCTCTTTAGCACCTCTCTGGGTTTGTTTGGCATCTGCTATTACAAATGGCAACAAAATATTGACTTATTCTTATCACTGTACGTATTTAGACTAATCATGGCTTTCTAATACAAGATTTTAGAGAACCAAATCTTTTTTCCCAGCTGCCTATGATATGAATTTACCTCTAGCTAACATTGTCCAAAAATCTGGAACATTTGGAGTTGTTTCTGTAGGGAAAAAAATGACAAGTAAGAATACATTGTCTTAAATTAGACACCTAGTTCAAGACTTTAGAGTAGACCTATCCTGTATTGTTATTATTTTACAAATATTTCTTAAGGAACAATAATCTTGGCAGAAAAGTAAAGTAGTGGTGTTGATTTTATAAACTTTCACTCACAATCCCTTTTCCTTTAATAATTTAGGAAGCCTGTATCACTGACTCTATCATATATATATTATTCCTCAAGCAGGTAAATTTTTACATTATTATTAAGTTACATTTAAATATATCTAATACATTGATATGTATATAAATAAAAACTCAGATATATATGTAAATATTTTAAGTTGGTAAATGTTTTCTTTTATACAATATAAATATACGTTCATTTAGCAGTATGTAATTTATGTAGATACAAACATAACACTTTTTGAAAATAAAATTTATAAAAATCCCAGTACCTACTCCTTGCCAGAAATATCTGAAATTTGATTCAAGACATTTACCACTTAAAAGATTTTATAGTGACTTTAAAATGTAGTAGTATAAATTCTTTAAGCATATTATTCCTTTACATAATGCTCAGAGTGGTGAATATTATAATTTTAAATCATACGACATGATCCAGATATGAATACAATATAGTAGTTTTAATACTTGGCCTTTTGCGACGAAAGTGTTTTTCTTCAGTTGTTATCCTGGAAATTTTACCTAGGAAGAGAGATAAAGAATTATCAATATATGAAAATATTGGATAAACATCTACGATATTAAACATATTTTGAAGCAAAAATACAACACAGATAAGGAGAGAGAAGAGATGGAAGAGAAAGATGAAGTTTTCCTGAAATAACTTACAGAGGAGAAAGGACCAGGCACTGAAGAATAAGATTTGGGGATGATGGGCTGTCTGAGGTGAGGTTAACATGCCTATAACTTGAGAGAGAGGAAAAGTAGGGCACAGGGGGCCAGGCTCCTCTGGAGGTCTGGGAGATCACTGGCTAAGACACTTGGTTTCAAAGGTCAAGGCACAACCTTAAAATGACAGCTGCAGTCCAGAGCAGCCTGGTTGTTGTTCAATGTGATGACATGAAGAGGAGGCACCAAGAGTGTCCTTGTCAATTGGAAACAGTTTGGAATGTAAGGATTTGGGATTGCACATTGGATGGGCAGGCCTCATTCAGCACCCATCTCAGTCTATAATGTGTCTGTCTGGAGGTACATCACTGAGACAGGTGTGGGAACAATTGAGACTGGAGGCCCATTTCCCCCATGTAGTTGGCAATCCTAGTTAACTGCTGAATGCAGGAGCCAGTGCAAGTTCCACATGGAGTTCAGACCTTCCCAGGAGTGGGGAGTTGAACACAGAGGCAGAATAAATCCAGACTGAGCCCACAAACCCCTTTCAGGTATCTTGCTGACAAGGAAGGATGCAAAGGGAAACCCATTACTAGAGTTGATGCTGACTCAGGGGAGACTCAAATGAATGGTAAGGAATCTTTAAACTCTGCTAGACAATCATTTTCTTCTTGGGAGAGGAGCATCTGCTGGCACCAGCTCATTCCCTTTCTCTGCCAGCATTGGGGACTCTACTTCAGCCAGTGATCTTCAAAGTTATCAGGGACATCTCCATTGCCTCCAGGGACTCTCCTCTAGGGCATCCCTCCCATGACAGAGTGTCTCCTCTGTCACAATCCCCTTGAACACTGCAGGAATTCCTTATCCCTATCCAACTTTTGTGACAGTCCCTTGGGGGCCTGGATTGTGGGGATACAATTTAGTTTTGGATAGCTTTTTCTTGTTGCCTGTGGCTCTCAGTAGCACACATCCTGAGGGGTTGTGAGGTACCTGCACTGCTTGAGAGCTGGGTATCTGGTTCTTATCCCACATACTTCAAGATGTTTGCTATGCACAAGCCAGATTCCTATAAGGGAGTATCTAATTAATGTTTGCCTAAGATATGTCACTGTCTCACAAAGAATTTGGAAATTGCTCAGAAATATTCCATGATTGCCAATGCCTAATTATAATTGGGCATTTTTCAGTCTGGGTTTTCCCAGTGTTGAAACTGCCATAGCTAGGATCCTTCTCTCCTCTCTGTTGAAAGCTTTTGAAGGTCTACAAAGTAGAAAGGAGCAAAAATGTAGGTTGAAGAAAGTTGCATCATTTCCTAGAATCCTCAATTCAGTTATTTGATTTGCCTTTCCCTGCAGACCCAAAATATGAGGTTTAGAATTGTAAGAGCATCTCTGCCTTTTGAAATTTTCAGGGCAATGGACCTGAGCCTCAAGGGTATAGAGTGGGAGGAAGAATGAGAAAAACCTAAAGGATAACCCAGAAGTAGCTGGATCCCTGCATCATAGCATCTACTTTAGCGGGAGAATTTTAGTCTGTTTAGGAACAAAGACTTCTTTCCTACACACCAGTGTCTTGTAGTGCTTTAAGAGCTTTCACATGTTCAACAATGCCTTTCAGGACTTACGGTGCTTTACGGCAAATCTCAGACCGGTTGTTGCTGTGACATTTATTTCAGATTCTGTACCATTTGGATTTTTTGTGGTGAACACGTCTGAAAACATAAAATCAAAAGTCTTCAGCAAACAGATAAGTCACTTATTCATTAAATTTTTTCTCACAGGAATTTTTTCTTTAAAAAAATTATAAAATATTTGAGTCATTTTTCATCTTCAAGAAAGATAGTAAGAAAGGAAGGAAGGATGGATGAGGGGAGGAATACACAGGGCACAGTAATACACTGCAGGAATCCCAGCTACTTGGGAGACTGAGGTGTGAGAATTACATTTTGAAGTCAACATGTGCTACTTAATGAGATCATGTTTCAACATAAATCAAACAGGAATGGAAAATGAGCTCAGTGATAGAGCACCTGCTTCACATTTACAAGGCCCTGCGTTCAATCCCAAGAATTACAAAAAACAAAAACAAAATGAAAGTGGGCCAGGGTCAAACAGAAAATTCATAAAAAAAAAAGTCAAACTAGTATGCTTAAGCTGAACGTCTTTAAGAAACAATTATTGAGGAAATTCTTGGGAAAAAATATGTTGTTACAGAAGAGATGCCAAAATAAATTTGTACACCTGCAATATAATCATTATTTGTACTGATATTATCAAAAAACAAGGAAGAAACATTCATTTGTATCTTCTGTGAGACTATAAAACACTTTAGCTTAAAAACCAAGTGGATCAACAACAAATAAGGTCTCCCACATATACTTCCGTTTCCCCATGAACATAAAGAATGCTATCCTAAGTGTCATTGTCAGGTTGGTTACAGTTCAAAGCTCATGAACATATTCACTCAACCAAGGGGTAAAAAGAATTTAGGGCAAAATTGCAAACTGAACATATATAAACATGTGATTCTTCTTTCCAAAATATCATGGATGACAGAAATTTTGAGCACACATAAATACATGTGTATGTTTAATATTTACATAATGTATTAATTTCTTTAAGCACATAACATTAAAAAGATAGTACCATTAACATACATAATTTGTTATAAAATTTCTGAGGTAGATCTATGGGGAAAAATCACAGGCCAACATTCATATTATGAGTTAGAAAAATTTAAAAATTGAAATACTTTGGTATTTTTGTGCAGAGAATTCAGATAAAGAACAATAAATAGAGCAACAATGGACCCAATTTCACATGACCATGGGATCATATTAAATATGAGACTCACATAAGGAGAGAATCAGTGTTAGATAATTAGCTCTTCTCTTTGAAAAGTATGTCTTAACATATATTATGCCATATTAAAAAATTATTAGATTTAAGTTAAAAACAAAAGTTGGAAATTATTATAAAAAGTTAGGAAAATATAACATCTTTGATTGGATAAAGCCTGTCGCAGCAAGACAGAAAATGCAGGAATTATAAGGGAATTAACAGAATTGATTTTATAAAACTCAAAATTTTCCCTATGATACTCAATTTTGAAGATAAGCAGTAGACTGGGAGAAAATTGTTAATACTTATATCATAGAAACAAGGTTAATATACTATATATTGAAAGAGCCCTTGCAAATCAATAAAGATCCATACTAAGAAAAATGGACAAAATACTAACAGGTTAAGTCACAGATGTGTAAATTTAAAATACCCACTAAGGATTAAGGAAAATACCAATCACACAAATAATTAGAGTGCAAATTACAAAAGCAAAGAAAATATATTTGTCACTTATCACAGTCAAATATTATAATTGATGCTCTTCATTGTGGAGAATTTTGGGGATGTAAACTGGTGAATAATTTTTTGCAGAGCAATTTGGGGTAAATACCAATATTTAAAAGATAAGACATTTATATTCAACAATTTCAGTATATAGCTTTTAGCCAAAGAGAATTATAATCAAGAATATTAGGGGGGAATTGAACATAATCTAAGTGTTCTCTAATGAGATAATTGATATATTAATGAACATCATTTTATTGAATACTGTGTATCCATTAAAAATAATGAGGTAGATGTTAAAAGAGCCAAAACTTATTAAAATAAAAAAAGTACTTTGAATAAGCTCATTTGTGTTTTGTGTATATTATGTATAAAATTTCAGAGTTTTTAAAATCAAAGTAATTGTCAATTAGTTGCCAATTGTCAAATTGATTTATAGATCCTGTTTGGTACAAAAAGAGGTACATCCTGAAGAGGATGTATTTGAACTTTTCTGTTCTGCATATCTATATGCAGAGGTGTTCCAGAGGTCACCTAGAACTACTCCTGCCTCTGTTCCTGCTATCACACCTCTGTGATTAGGGATGTATTTTCACCTACAGAAGAGGGATACTGATTAATAAAAGAGAAAACAATAATACAACTTATTGATTATAATTTCGAAAGCACTGGAATGTATATACAAACACACACACACACACACACACACACACACACATATATCTTCATTATTTTTTCTGTTGTTCTTTGGTTCATGTTAATAAGGATCCCATAATAATTAAATTTGATCTTAGTCTTTAGTTTTAGTAATAATTTCTTATGAACTTTTTTACTTTTTAGAATAGTACACCTCGTAACGAATTTCGGAAAGGAAATCCATATAAAGGAATAGTGAATTATAAAACTGAATTTCAGTGGAACTTTCAAACATCTAGAGTAATGTTGTTATAGGTTGAATTGTGTCCACCCTTCCCAGCCCCTCCGAAAACAGCTTATGTTGAAGTCTTAACTCCTGGTACCTCACAATGTGGCCTTATTTGGAAACAGCTTTGTTGCAGATGTAATTAAGATGAAGACAACTGCAGTAGCGTGAGCTCTTACTCAGATGGCTGATGTCCTTACAAGGAGGAGGAAGTGTGGACACAGAGGCACAGGAAGAACACCCTGTGAAGAGGGTAAGGCAGAGACTGAAGAGAGACTTCCTGCCACAAGCCAAGGCACACCTGGGCTGCAGAAGCTGGAAGAAAGGAAGGATCCTCCCCCTCATGGCTTTGGGGAGAGCCTTTACTTGATCCACTAATATTTGGATTTTGGACTTCCAGCCTCCAGAACTGTGAGAGAAGAGATTTCCACTGTTTTGAGCCTATGAGTACTCACTGTGGTACTTTGTTTCACAAGCCTTATGGAACCAACACTCCCCTTTGGATACATTTTGCTTAACTAACCATCAAATGAGGTAAGTAGCCACAATGCTGTGATGAACCACAGTCATTAGAATAATCTCCAGGAGAACCCTGCTAAAGTTTCAACATCTCAGGAAATAAACTGTAGGAAAATAAGGATTTCATTTTACATGCTGAAAAGTTATATGGTAAATCAGAATTTAAGAAGTAGGCAACCAAAAGATTATGGGCATTTAGAAAAGAGAGTTAAGGTAAATCAAAGCTGTTAAAATCTATTGTTGTTGCAGCTTTTTTTTATACAATGCTATTAACTTAAAAGTCTTACATTGTTTTATATCTTTGTAATAATTGCCAGTTTTCTCATTAGCAGGAGTAGTATCCATATGTATTTCTTCTTCATGTTGTATAAAAGGAATACTTTCAGCATTGTTTCCTTCATCACTTATGGAAATATTATTATCCATATTTTCATCTTCTTTATAATAATAATCTCCATCAGAAGAATTCACTTCAGGAAGCTCTAAAAAACATACAAAACGCCATGGATCAGAAATATGTTGCTTTCCTTTGCAACTTTCTGCTTTCCACCTCAATGTTTCATAAACAATTTGAGTAAGTGATTTAAAATCTAAGTAATGCCATGTCCCCCAATAAACTTTACACCATCCTGTACAAAGCTGCCACATACCAGTGTTCCATGGTCAAGGATCATCCTTCACATTTACCATTCTGTAATATTTGAAAGGTCTACTCACCTTCCATGTTCATTTTTAGGTTGCTAATCCCTGAGGGAAAAAACCCAGATAAAAAAATAAAAAATATAAAACTCATTGGGAAATTGTTGTGATTTATCCAGCGATCTGTGACTTCTCCTCAGATCTTCCTTCCTGTGTCACAGGAGGTCTTAAGACTAAGTAGGACATTATGATATCACTGCCCGTGGGAGTCAGAATGCTGGGGAGCGTTCCCCAGAGCTTTGTGACTCCATCTCCATACTATTTCATCTTTGGCACTAAAATGGGTTTTAGTATTTTTTTCTAAATAAACCATTATGAGAGTTTCTCTGAAAGTTAATAAATAATGGTTTCAAGAAATAATGTTAATTATTGGTTTCTGAGTTTTAAAGAATCATTGATATTCTATGTAGTAAAACTAAAAGCGACCATTTTGGTTTTAATACAATTACAATATGTTCTTTGGGGTAAGTGCAATCAAAATATGTGCTAAAAACTAGTCAGAGAAAGCAAGATTCAATCCAAATGCCCTGCAAGTTCTGGTTTATGGATTGTTTAACTATAATTCTTGGAGAAAATTTTATGGAACTCTCATTTTGGGATTCTAAAACCTAGATCCTATATAAAATATCTTTGTTTTGTTTCATATATTTCTATTCACAAGGTCCATGTTTTACTTCACATACCAGATTGAAAAATGAATATAAAGTTTAAGTGGTCATAAGAGTACTCAGGAATAAATAGTAATATTTCATGGATTATTGATATAATATTACCATAGATTATTCATATACTATCTGAAGTAATAAGCCATAAAGACAGGAAAGTAAATGGACTCAATTTTTTCTTCATGGTATTAAAGGCTCACCTACTTTCCCATCTCAGTTTTAGCTATAGTTCTTCATAGCCTCTCAACACTAAGAGACAGTGGTAATCAAAATACCACAAGCATCAGGAAAGTGCAGGATGACTGTGAAAGGACTTAAAGTTTTCCAGTGCAGAGAAAGCTCACAAATTAAGTCCAACCTTTGGTTCTATCCTGAACATGACCTTGAGAAATGGACTCAACAGAGTTCAATTGCCTAAGGCGAGGAAGAAGCAGAGAAGACTCACCAAACGGAAAAGATGTCAGGCTAGCAAGCCTCAGCATGGGAGCCTTAGTCAACCAAAGGCAAGTGGACCCATATATAGCACTGGTTTTCTTTTGGACCCATTAGCTCATTGTCAAGCGAAAGCTGGGAGGGGGGAAAGAATGTGAATGAATAAAGAGCTGACAGATCTTTGGAGGCCTTTCCTTTGGTATCTTTCTAACAGTCTGCAACATAAGAGAGAAACCTGAAGCAAGCATACCCCATGGGGCTACAAACCACCACAGGGCTTTGGAGGACACAGCCATGAGGAAGCTTGGTAAAGCACCGAATTTCACAGGAGGAGGAGTGGCGTCTCATGGAACCACTAGCTGGACCTGGATGATACCCAGGAGACAGAGCTAGCCAGAGACATCTCAACCACTGTGTGCCCCAAATCTGTCAAGGATGTGCCCCAAATCTGTCAATGAGTGCTCAGTTCAGGAAGCGCTCAAGTGCCAAAAGTCAGCTTTGCATTTTTGAACACAAAAGAGAATTTTCTCGTTTCACCATATATTCCTCTCTCTGCTGAGTCCTCTTCTAGTCCCAGGACAGTTATTTTTATTTGCTGATATGACAAATGCTCTCCACAAGGTAATTGCCTTGGTAGAGCCCAACTGTGCTAGACTTATTTTAAAAATAACGTTAGATTTCATGAAACTATTTCAGTTAATTTGAATATGGATTCTAATTTTCCTCTGTGCATTGATTCGTCCTCCTTCTGAAATGTCTCAATAGTATGCTCCCAAATTCCTGTGTTGAAGCTCGAACCCCCATACTTCAAAATGTGGCCATGCTTGGAGATGTGGTTGCTTCGGATACAATTTGTTAAGATGGGATTATCCTTCAGTAGTATGGGGCCCTAAAACATAAGTGGTGTTCTTATGAACCGTGTGATTTGCACAGAGGGACACACAAAGAAAATGAGATGTCATGTGAAAATAAAATAAAGACAGAGACGAGGGGATGCAGCAGAAGCCAAGGAAAACCAGGTGGCCAGCAAGCCACCAGAAGGTGGAAGAGGCCTGGGACAGGTGCTTCTTCTCAGTCTTCAGAGGAAACCCATCTGCAGACACTTGATCTAGGACTTCAGGCCTCCCAAACCATGAGATGATACATTGGTGCAGGTTAAGACACTCAGTTTGTGGAACTTTTCTCTGGCCGCTCTAACCTACTAATACAATATAGAAACGTTTTTACTTACTGGGAAGAGATTATGGAAACAAAAATTGAATGTTTCCTCCCTGAAGGTTATAATTTTGGGCTGTAATTAGTTTTTCAATAAAAGTAGATAGTCTATTACTCAATATGTTAGAAACTTCCCTTTACAGGAGTGTGTTCATTTTCTTTATATTAAATAATATTTTAATTCTTTAACAAAAACCTTAAGAAGCCTTCATTGTTAGTGCCAAGAATGTTATTGGATTATATTATCTATGACTTGATTATTTTATGTATGATTTCATGTTTCTTGACCACATCTGTATTATAAACTCCCTCTTATTTTTGTATCTTCTTCTACAAGATCATTGGGTTCAGAGTAAGATGGCTTATATTTGAGTTCAGCTCCATTACCTTTATCCATACGATCATGAGCTAATTATCTTTTCTCTGACTCTGAATTTGCTAAACTGGAAATTTGGAAAATTAAATTTCACAGAAAGTAGATTCTTTAAATAAATCTATTGGGTTGAATATCTATTGGGTTGAACCTATCTGAATTTGCCAAGTACATATGGACTAAGAGTGGCCAGATTTTCATTTCTTTTGGGTTGAATTTACTTACTGAACTTTCCATGTATGTAATGATTAGGAGTGGTAAGATTTTCACATATCCTTTTTTAAAAAATATATGTATACTGAGGATTGAATTCAGGGGTGCTGTACCACTGATCTACATATCCAGCTGTTTTAAAAGTTTTCAGTTTTGAGCCAGGTTCTCACTAAATTATTGAGGATAGCCCTGCAACCATCCACTGACTCTAAAAACAGATTCCAAGATGGCCCCTCATGATCCCCTCCTAGTTACTCTTGCTTTTGTGATAATTTCCTCTTTGTAAGCATGAGTGAAACATGTAACTTGCTTCTAACCACTAGAGCATGGCAACAGTGATGGGATGCCACTTTTATGACTGCATCAAACCGGATTGTAACTTGCATTTTATAAATGGATTATCCCCTTTGCTGACTTTGGTCAAGTAAGCTGCTATTTGGGCAGATCCATGTGGCAAGACAAAGAGTGTTCCCCAGAGCCATTAGCTAATAAGCAGCTGAGGTTCTCAGTCCAATAGCCCTCCAGGAACTGAATCCTGCCAACAGCTACATGGGTTTAGAAATGAATCCTTTCCCAGATGATACCTTCATTGTAGCCCTTGTAAGAGATCCTGAAACAGGGTACACCTACATCATGGCCAGCTTCCTCAATTCCAAAAGCTATGAGATACTAAATCTGTATTGTTTTAGGCCAATAAATCTATTATGACTTATTACATAGCCATACAGAACTGAAACCCACCTGCAGACACTCAAAGATGGATGTAAATAGGGCCTACAGTGGTCAAAGTCAAGGGAGTGCATTAGGTGCTCTAATAAATACAAATTTCTAAATCTCACTCTCTGGATTCTGATTTAGTAATTCTTGAGCAAGGCCCAGCAACCTGCTATCACCAGCCACCTGTGGGCTGTGTGTGGACTGTCACAGTAGCCTCCTGAGGGGATAAGTGGCATTGGGAACTTCCTGTGGCACCCCCCACAGGGATTGACCACCTGATGCAGGTGAACTTCTCCTTCAAGGTCTGCCAAAGATCCCACACAGCACCTGAGATGGGTTTGATCTGCCAAGATGTCAGTCAACCTGCTGACTGCAAGACTTTATGAAGCAAGACTCCATCCTTGAATCCTTATCCCTGTCTTTGGTGGATCCCCTTAAATAAACCACCAGAGCTATTTTCCCTTTGTCTAGTTCCAGAACCCATGTGGACTAGATACATAAGGGGCTTCATTTCCTGTAAATATATTTTTGAGTATTTGTGCTTTGTTATTTGCTAATTATCTGAGATTGTAAGTTTTAGGATGGCTTGTATTCCCATGGGAAGAAAGAACCCTGCAAAGAGACGCCGGCTATTGTTCCCTCCAAAAACCTACCTCTTTAACTAGCACCCCTGGGATTTTGAGACAGGTAGCCAGCCCTCTCACTGCATCTTGAGAAAAATTCATATAATTATTATGGTTATACTATATGGAATTTGACTGTTTATAAACAAATATTTTTTAAAAACAAAGAATATCATTTGGGATCCATCCATACATGAGGGTAAGATTCATTATTCCTGATTCTTCAGAAATCCAATGAAGATTATTATTTAAGTCAGCCTTTGTACTGCTGTGACCAAAAGACCTGACAAGAACAATTTCAGAGGAGGAAAAGTTCACTTGGGGTCTCATGCTTTCAGAGTTTCTCAGTTCACAGATGGCTGGCTCTACTGCTCTGGGTCAAAGGTGTGGCAGAATATCATGGTGAAAGTGTGTCAGGGGAAGGTAGTGGCTCTGGACATGGCCACCAGGAAGCAGAGAGAGAGACTCCACTTGCCAGGTACAAAATACATACTCTAAAGGCACACCCCCAATGACCCACAGCTACACCCTACCTGCCTATAGCTACCACCCAGTTAATCCCTATCAGTGATCAACATACTGATTAGGTTAAGGCTGTCACAATCTAATAATTTCACCTCTAAACCCTGTTGCATTGTCTGACACATGAGTTTTGGGGAACACCTTACTTTAAACCATAACAATGGTATTCCCAAAGTGTGTTCCATCAACTGTAGTAAAAAGCTTCCACAATTAGCTAGTTTGGAAAACACTTCCCTTGACATATGACAGTAATGGTGCATGTTAGAGCCCACAAAGTTTCAAAAGTTCTCTAGTAGGAAATCTTTTTCTAATGTTTTGCGAAAAATGTTACAAGCTTATTTGACCATAAAAATTGTGAAATCTGTGGAATTCTAACATTTGCAGGTGGATTATTATAACTGAC